AATTGAAATGATATACAATTGTAATGATATACAATTAAAATGATATACAATAGAAATGATATACAATAGAAATGATATACAATAGAAATGATATACAATTGAAATAATATACAATTGAAATGATATACAATTGTAATAATATACAATTGAAATGATATACAATTGAAATGATATACAATTGTAATGATATACATTTGAAATGATATACAATTGTAATGATATACAATTGAAATGATATACAATTGTAATGATATACAATTGAAATGATATACAATTGTAATGATATACAATTGAAATGATATACAATAGAAATGATATACAATAGAAATGATATACAATTGAAATGATAAACACTTGAAATGATATAGAATTGTAATGATATAGAATTTAAATGATATACAATTGAAATGATATACAATTGTAATGATATACAATAGAAATGACATACAATAGAAATGATATACAAATGAAATGATATACAATAGAAATGATATACAATATACAATAGAAATGATATACTATTGAAATGATATACAATATACAATTGAAATGATATACAATATACAATAGAAATGATATACTATTGAAATGATATACAATATACAATTGAAATGATATACAATTGTAATGATATACAATAGAAATGATATACAAATGAAATGATATACAATAGAAATGATATACAATATACAATAGAAATGATATACTATTGAAATGATGGTATGTCAATAGAAATGATATACTATTGAAATGATATACAATATACAATTGAAATGATATACAATATACAATAGAAATGATATACTATTGAAATGATATACAATATACAATTGAAATGATATACAATTGAAATGATACACAACTCTAACTTACGATATGATGGATTGAGTTGCTACTAAGAGCAAGGGAGATAACCTTATAATATTATGGATAATATCTACCGTTGCTAAAGGAATATGACTGTTACTTACTATATAATGGATTGATGTCTAATTTTAATGGAGATTTCGGTATTCCTCCACCACAATAACCATTTCCAGATACATGTATATCGTCATCAGTCCTGAGCTCAATGTCAAATCTGGGTATAGCGCCAGTACGTATCCATTCATTCTGAAAGTTACAATCATCTCCATGAAAATCTCCAATTTGTAATCAGTACAAATACACTAATAACGTGATTGGAATTGGGGGGGGGGGGGGGGGGGTTACCTCAACATCAAGACGGAAATAGAAGTAATAGTTACCGTAGGGTTGAAGATTAGACCAGTATCAACGACGTATAAAACAGCCCTTCCTTTGGGGGGACAATACAAGATTTGACCACCACAACCCTGTGCCCAGCCATATTTCTTTACCATACCATTTATTTGGGTAGTGAAGTTAGCATCATCTTCCTTAATAGTCATCGTCTATAAAACAAATAAACATCATTTTTTTTTTTTTACAAGGATAACAACTAAGGTTCTAGAAGATCTTGTCTACCAGTCGGTCCTGAGAAAACATCTTGGCATTAATTTAACAAGAATAACAAGTAAGAATTTAGAGGATCCTGTTGGTCCTGAAAAAACCTTAAGGGAAAACCGGATAACATCTTAGGATGCTAGAAGATGGTTTTTACCAGTTGGTCACAAGGTAAATTGGCCTCAGTAATATGTCCACAGTCTTGACCTCAGTAATTTGATCTATTCTTATCATGGACTGTATATTACATTGAAGATATACCCTCCAATCTATTCTTATCATTTACTGTATATTACATTGATGATATAGTCTCCAATCTATTCTTATCATGGACTGTATATTACATTGAATATATAGTCTCCAATCTATTCTTATCATGGACTGTATATTACATTGAAGATATAGCCTTCAATCTATTCTTATCATGGACTGTATATTACATTGAATATATAGTCTCCAATCTATTCTTATCATGGACTGTATATTACATTGAAGATATAGTCTCCAATCTATTCTTATCATGGACTGTATATTACATTGAATATATAGTCTCCAATCTATTCTTATCATGGACTGTATATTACATTGAAGATATAGCCTTCAATCTATTCTTATCATGTACTGTATATTACATTGAAGATATAGTCTCCAATCTATTCTTATCATGGACTGTATATTACATTGAAGATATACCCTCCAATCTATTCTTATCATGGACTGTATATTACATTGATGATATAGCCTCCAATCTATTCTTATCATGGACTGTATATTACATTGAAGATATAACCTCCAATCTATTCTTATCATGGACTGTATATTACATTGAAGATATAGCCTCCAATCTATTCTTATCATGGACTGTATATTACATTGAAGATATAGTCTCCAATCTATTCTTATCATGGACTGTATATTATATTGAAGATATAGTCTCCAATCTATTCTTATCATGGACTGTATATTACATTGAAGATATAGCCTCCAATCTATTCTTATCATGGACTGTATATTACATTGATGATATAGTCTCCAATCTATTCTTATCATGGATTGTATATTACATTGATGATATAGCCTTCAATCCATTCTTATCATGGACTGTATATTACATTGATGATATAGTCTCCAATCTATTCTTATCATGGACTGTATATTACATTGATGATATAGTCTCCAATCTATTCTAATTACATCGAAAATTTAACCATTTCCACCCATCTCCGAAACCTTGTAAATAAATTTTTGCCCTTTGGCTGATTTGTTTGGTCACCCATGAATTGATCTGATTGTATCTCATGATTTTGACCGAGATAGTAGTGGCGGATTTCGCACGCGAAGAAGCCCATGCTTACTCTTTAAAAACACCTGATGGTACACTTGATTTTTATTGCGTTTGTGGAGGTGTTACAGAGACCTTCTCGATTCCGTAGCGATCTCGACAAGTAATATCGACAATGGTGCAGTATCTAATGCTAATACCACGCTTATCGCGACCTCAGCATGCTGTAAGATAATTTACCGTCGCCGTAGCAGCTCAGTAACGACGCCTTTCCGTACCTAAATGACCGTGTGCCTAAAAAATGGTGTGTTTAAAAGAAGTGTGCTCAAAATATCGTATATTATTGTCTTGTGCTTAAAATATTTATGCCCAAAATGACTGCTTACTCTATGGGCGCATTAAAATTAGCCGTGGTCTAAATTTGTTTAGAGTATTCTCCCTTTAATTGTTTAAAAATTAATCGTAGAAAACTTCAAAAAGAAACACTGTATTTAATGGACTGGCTTTCAGTCGTTTTGTTTGTTATTCATTATCAACTATAACTACACGTTTTATAATTCACTGTGGCACAGGCTATTATTATTATTAACTGACGTCATAAAACTTGGAGTTTGTGTAGAATCAATAGAACCTCAGACGTCTGATTGAAAATTGGAACGGTAAAAATTGATGCTATCATAGACCCCGATACACATTAAAACATCTTTACAATACCTTTAAATATTACTCACTTAAAATTGATATAAATCCACAAAAAATATAATCGGCAGAAGACGACAACTTTTCAATCTATATGTTTTATTCAACCCCAACCCCCCTTTTTTTCTTTGACTCTACCTGCCACGATGATTCAGTGTATTAAAAGTCACAAAATGCCTTACCCTTAGGGGAGAAGATTCATAATTTTTGTCATGGTCCCTTTGTAATATTGTACAATAAAATATGTTTAAACTACACAATGCCGCATTCGAAAAATTTCATTTGTGTGGGTAAATGGTCAACAAACGTGAGATTTAAAAATATGATATTATTATAATACACTGAAATGATACAAAGGGAGATAACAATGCATAATTTATTTGACCACTTTATTTACAAATTCACCGTTATTTACAATCGATGTACAGGCAACAATTTTATAAAATATTTGAAATAATAATGTCATATCAAGAAGAAAATCTCATCTGAAGATTTTAAATACAAAATAAAATTTATCATATAAAACTGAATTAAATTAATCTTTGTTTTTACAATCACTGGATTAACAGATAGTTTTACTTTCTAATCCTACACAGAATACAACTAAGATTCATTATATTATTTAATTATAAACTCTGAACTAATTTAAACGTTGAATATCAATCATGCTGTGCACTAGACAAAAGAAGGAAGCTTTAATATTTTTACATTTTTTAATTGAACACAAATTTTAGATGTTATTGAATTAAATTAAATTGTTTATTACCAAATAGTAATGCCCGTTACTGATATCAAAAGTCTAAAATCGTTACGTTAAAAACACCAGTACAGTGGCGTGACATAGGATACTAGTACCAAAACAATACACAGCTTTATAAAAATAATAACCATTAAAAAATGAAATAACAATAAAGATAGGCGTTACCTCGAAATATATCATCAATATATCATCATTTTGGGTATTCTGATAATAAGGTATACAAACATCAAACCCTTATATAAATACAGTTTTTTGTGAAGAGATCTTTGCACATAGATGACAAACTTCAATTTGAGATCAAATTTTCTATCTTTAAAAACAGTTGACGAATTTCAAGAGAGGGCTGTTTTTTATTTTGCTAAAGAGAAGGTAAAAGAAAGGGAAATAAAAAAATAGGATTACTTTTTGGCATCGCGAGACAAGAAAATAATACGATTGAGCAAATATAATGAAAGAAGTTTCAATGAGCAAAATATAATTTGTGTTTTAATTGGACATATTACACAGACTGTGAAAGTTTGTAAACCAGGGCCCCGTTTCTCAAAAATCCGTACGAGTCAACTTGCACGTTAAGTGAATAAAAACATTATTCTTGACGTTATCAAATTATTAATTCATAACCTTTACGCTCTATGTTAATCTACAATATTTTGAGAAACGGAGTCCAGGGTTCTACGATATTAGCACTTATTTAAACATGATGGTAAAAGGGGAACTATATTTTTGTACATATACACAGAATATTGTTAAGAAAACTATTGAAAAATAGTCAACATGAGAACATGATATAATGATGATGTTGGCAATACGGAACATAGTATAAAAACCATGTAACAATTGGCAACATGATATAATGACGAAGAAGACAATATTGGGAACATGAATTAATGACAGGTAACAATAAGGAACATGATACGATGACGAGGTTCAATTGAGAACATCGCCTAGACAATTAGGAACATGATACGATGATGTGTAGAGGACTGAGAACATGATATCTAACGATCTAACACCTAAATAAAGTTCTTATCATAGACAACAGACAAAAACTTTCATAAAGTATAAGTTTTTAGTGAGGTTTAGCAAACAGGACTAAGTATGGCAGTTGGTATCACAAACTTTAATTATTCATACCTATGATTATATAATATATATCATGAGACCACTTTAGAACTCCCATATTTAACCCGATTATTGAACAAAAAACCATAAAAACATGAACATATCCATATTGATAATAAAATAATGTATATATACATAACGGTTATTATACATATTTCATTTGGCAACAATTCATTAACATAACAAAAATAACAATTTACTCTACTTCTGAAATTTCAGATTTCTTCTCATGGTGTTAAAAACATCTTTATCTTATGATAAAATTATATTATAATGGATAAATAAAAATTGATATGAACCTGATATCAATATGTACAGAGGATAACGAAATTGCCAGAAAGTAATTTCTTAGATTTATGTTTGAACTGTTTTAGCTAAAGGATCAATTGTTTAACATCGTCTGCGCATGAATATGTCACACAATTTACTACGCTGAAGTCGTTTCGTAACGAAAAAAGAATCTGTTTGATGTCATTTTGGCGGGTAAGCGTTGTAAGACGTCATAACGGAGCTTTCAAGTTGGCGTTATCACCACATCACTAAGACGTTATATTTACACGTCACAAAGTCGTCGTTGCTAGGTCACAAAGTTTTTAAGGTGACGTTATAACGAGAGGCACAAAGCGTCTGATTGGCAATGATATAGAGAATATAAAGATATAGCTCTATCTAACCAGCTCTATCTGACCAGCTCTATCTAACCAGCTCTATCTGACCAGCTCTATCTTACCAGCTCTATCTGACCAGCTCTATCTAACCAACTCTATCTGACCAACTCTATCTAACCAGCTCTATCTAACCAGCTCTATCTTACCAGCTCTATCTGACCAACTCTATCTAACCAGCTCTATCTAATCAGCTCTATCTTACCAGCTCCAGCAAACCAGCTCTATCTAACCAGCTCTATCTAACCAGCTCTATCTGACCAGCTCTATCTGAGCATACATTTTCAAATTTATTTCAGAGAATGGGACGGACAAATGAAAATAATGATAAAACAATGGTTAAAAGAGAAATATAGACGAAATTAAGGATTTCATGCAGTTATCACAGATATGAAGAACAAACTATATAATACAAGCAATAAATATACCAAATTCTTTTAAAATTTCAGCATTAAAATAAAAAATTGAATACGCAATTAATGATATGAAAAAATTGTATGATATCATTCTAAGCAAAGAACATTTTGTTCAACATGTTTTGTTACAGTTGATTATAGACAAATTGACGTGGTTTCGGGAGGAACACGATTGTAGAAGTACAAGACAATCCCCATAATGTTGATGGTGTATAAATCATAAGTAGACAACGTCTATAAATATATTAATTGTGAAATTTGTATCAAGAACGTCATAAAAGTGTATAAACCAACTGGTTGCTCGGAGATGTTTCTGTTTATCCTAGTTTACAAATAAAAATCATCGACACGTACGTTTTCTGCTGTCTAAAAACATCACAGTACATACAAATGAAGAGTTATGATTGGTCACTCCAGACATGAACTGTCTAATCAGTTTATCTAGCCGAAACACTTGCGATCTTTAAAAAGTTCATTACGAAAATTCCACGAAACACTAGATTTACTTTTGGTCTGATTCGAACTCTCTTAAACTCTATAGCTGAACACTACGTTTCTGAAAAGAAGAACCAAGTTGCTTAAAGAGATGTCGAGTTTACAAAACACTATAGAACATATTCTAAGCTTTTTGGATTTAGATTCGAGTTGACACCAATTTACTCAAATAAATACGATGAGCTATGTCTTAAAGTCATACCGAGTCGAGTAACAACACTACAACAAAAATATTATCAGATAATGACCTCTGTGAAACTGAAAGTCGAAAGAGATGGTGAGTTAACCTTTCCAAATCCCTCAGTAATATACTGTATACGATATATAAGTTTTGCATTGTTCACTGCTCAATCTCACCAGAGTTACCACATCCAATATAACCGATATAACTCATATAAATACCATAAACTATGTGGACTCTCTGAAAGATATACCGAGTTCACCATACTAAACACCACATAAATGATACGAAATATGGAAGGCACGTCTTGCTGACTGCACCAATCGCAGAGTGGCACCAGAGTTTCAGCAACCAGTATAACCGGTATAAGGCCACGTGAATATAATTAAATATGTGGAGTCTCTGAAAGATATACCAAGTTCACCAAGTTAATACACCAAATTAATGATAAAGCTTATTCAGGCTGGCAAAACCAATGACAGAGTGGTACCACATAACAGTATCTAATTTAACCGGTTTAAAGCCACATCATTAGATTTGTGGACTCTCTGAAAGATATACCAAGTTCACCATTCAAGTCTCCTCATAATTGATATAATGTATAATAGACAAAGATAAGGTATGAAATCTCCATATCGCACTAGAGAAACCACCCCTGAACTAACCGGTAGTAAACTCCCTAAATCACCGGACAGCTCAGTAATCCTGAAAATCGTTATTTTTGACAATGTTTCTTAAAACATCCGGGAAAGGATAACTAAATAAATTATAATCAGGATAATACATCTTCCATAGTTTCTTTAAATTACTCTCAGGTACATTTTTATACGCATTAGTTAAAGTCTGTTTCGTGTACGTGTAATTCGTCGACACCAAGTCTCCCTTGAATTTATCGCGCACGTGTATTTTGTTTAAAACATGTTCAATATCGCTGTTTAAACTTTCATATTTTCCTATAAAGTCGTACGACATGATACAAGGATGACACTGTTTATAATATTGTTCCCAATGTTCGTTAAGATCCTCGTCGTTCTGTTCTGCATCAACTACATACTGCACAAACTCGGGAAACGTGACGTCATTTCCCTTCTGTAATGACGTCTTCGACGGCTTCTTCCGGTATTTTTTGATGATTTTGGTACCGAAATTCAAATGAAAATACGTACTCCATTTAGCGTGTATCTTGTTCTCGTACGACGAATACAATCGCTCTAAAGGTTCACGAACGAAGGACATTTTGAAGTAGGATTGAATCCTCTTTTTTCTCTCAGGTCCCGAGAAGTCACTAAGTTTTTTAAGATTTTTGCTGTATTTTGTGAAGATGTCGCTCACTGAAATGTCTAAATGGCTTTTCACCTTCGTGGCACCACTAAGATAAAGCAACATTTTTCGGATGTCGTTTTGTGCCACCCCTGGCATCTGACAATACAGTAATTTGTGTTTATCGTCCACGATTATTTGTTGTAGCTTTACGGCTGGTATGAGAGCAGGGTCGGGCATATTAGGACGTAATTTGTTGCACCAATGTTTCAATGTTTCGACACGATCCGTTCTCTCAGCATCCTGGTTGTTAACTGATACCGAAGCCTGAAAAGAAAGGGGAACTCTGTTAATAGATTTACGTCTAAGTCTATAAAAACATTTCTCTCGATTGTACATAAAGTGGTGCTCGGGCGGGACTGCTGAAAATTGGTGGTACGTGGGACAGTTTGGTCAATCGCTAGACTTAGTCGACTCGACCACACCAATTGTCGTAATATGACATTATCTCGTTGTCTCCTTCTTTCAAGGAATAACATGTTCTAGTCGCCAAACCGAGATGTCAGAATTTTTGACGATATCAGTTAATTTGCAGATTAGAACATTAAGATCTATGACGGACCCGATAACATGCTAAACATGCCTGTAAACTTGAGCCCAATTAATAAACTGATATGATAATAATATTTAATTTCATTGGTGGATACAGAATAACATCTTCATATCTTTCTTGGGCTACCTTTTTAATATCAAACTATAATGAGGTGTAATAATTTATTAATCGTACCTCCACTACTTCAGGCGCAATGCTTTTTGTAGAAAGGTCGGTTTACACCTTCATTCCATTATTTTACTGAACTATTATTTTATCAGCATATTTCGAGGTAAAATCATAATTTCTAAATTTTTCTTTATCTTGAGTTTTTACTGAGATCTAAATCTTACAATCATGTTTTTATGTATAATCATAATTACTGTATCTTACCTTGGGTGCTAATTTTCTATCTGCTGTTATCTTCATCTGTTTGATATTAGATGCTGACGCTGCTGGAGCTCCTACCGCCCGTTTATTAGGAGCATGTTTATTAGCGGTAGGTTGAAATAATGCGTGGTCTTCTTCCTTTAATTCCCTCATTACAACTAGGTGTGAGGCATCGTAAGGGGGAGATAAATCTTTCGTTTCGAATATCTGCCATTTTCCTACAAAATATAAAAAAATCAAAATATGAGATATTGATTAACAGAATCGTTATATAAAAATCACAGTAAGGATGTTGATTTCATATTTACTCTAACGGACATTGAAGAAAATTGCAAAACCACCACACTGGGGTTTTAACCCTTTTATTTCTGTTACCCCTTTCAAGATCAAGATTGCATTACCTCCCTTCTCCCTATAAATCCTCACTATTTCGTGATTCCCTGCAACCTGTTTTCATGTCGGTGAATATAGCCTGACAATTTGAATTATAATTGTCTTAAAGTTTAGGTTAGATTACAAAACTCCGAAAACAAATAGTATACAGTAGTCTAGAAGATCCTACGGAGGTGCGAAATAATCCCACAAAACCGGGCCTAGTTTTTCTGTCTCTACACCAGCCGACAACTGCCAAAATAGCTGTAAGAGGCTGGAATAGGGGAGGGGGTATTTAGCTTACAATGCAGAATATTTATTTACTGTATTTTATCTAATATGGTACAGAAATGAAGAACGTAACGTAAACCTTCATTTTCTCTCTCCAAAGATAACGGACTAGAGATAGATTATATTAGATCTTCTTCAAATACTTTCAAAAAATCTTAAAAAGTAAAACTCCGTTTTGTATAGGTATTAGCAGATCATCTTCCACAAATCAAGGAACAATCTGAATCTGAGTTTTACACCGACGGAAATCCGGTTGAAATACCTTAAACTCTGTTAACTGATCAGTGAACTATAAGCCAATGTCATTTCAAGGGGAAATTTTGTTAATTGATTTTCACACAGAAAATTGTGTTGTGATATAAATTCTCATGACCCCTATTCAATTTATTTTACATAATGTTTTATAAAAATGTCTTTGAAAATGTTTTGAAAGGACGAATTCAGGATAATGGACCACTGTGATATGGTTTAGATAAATAAGATTTCAAAAAGTTTCAAGTCGGCCCCACCCTTCAATACAATACTCTTGTCAATGTTGAAATGTAATTATCTAATGCCTATGGATCAATTTAATAGTGTACACGTCATCTAGTTTAAATACTATTATATATTTTTCTTCAATCTATACAACTGTCAGGTCAGACTATTGATTCAGCGTCTTCACAAATTTACAAACCTTTTAAACATTATGACCAATCCTTTTTTTTTAGGTTCGAGTACACTGCTTAGTTACCCAAATTTCATAAAATCATTCTTAACGACCTACTACCGACTTTTTCTACGTCACATTACAAACTAGTACATTACGCCTTAAATTTCGCATCCTACGTCACCCCAAAGTTACAAGATTGACGTCACAAACCAGGCTAACGTCAGATGAGATGTGACGTATAAGCCTTAATGACGTCAAGAAATGACCTTTCCTACCTACGCGACATAGTTGTATATGATGTCACAGAAATATCGGTTGTTAAAGTAAAAGTTACGATGTTAATCTGTTCTGTTCAACCCAGGACTTGCTAGACAGTTCTTGATTATATATATCTTTCAATAAATTCGATGAATAACGTTACATAACTGTAAACGTGATCACATTTTCTGAGAAGAAAAGAAACGTTGTTATTGTTTACAGGATATATAACTCAATAAAGATATTGTCAATCAATTGCTAATGTGTAAACAGGTATCATGCACCATTTCACAATAACCTCGTGAACAAGGTGCAGAGTAGAATCTATAAAGTACATGGATAAGAAAAAAGCGTTTTATGAATAAGTATAGTTAAATGGGCTTTCGACTTCATGATTCTCATCGTGATGTGCAGATTGGTATCAAATTACTTCTTTGAATAATAACCTGTATCTGCATAACCTTGTGACCATTATTCTGTTATACCTATTTTATCAAGTGCATCACTTGTGATATTGATAGGTATAATTATAGTGTTTATAGCTTAGTGTATAGTTGATATACTGAAATTTATATATATATCGTATAATATATCAATATTAATATCCAGGAAAGAAAACACGATATATCAGGCTAGAGCTTTCACTCCGAAGAAATTATCAGGCTTTTCATAACGTGACAATAATAGAATAACGTTATAACGTCATAGCATCGTATCTATATATATATATTTATAACTGCAGTATCTATCTACATATTATATTATAATCAAATCTTACAATGACATTTAGAAGTAGATAGAACATTAAATAAATAAAAACACTATTTATCTATTGTTATTATTGTTATAGAGTTATAGATGTTATTTTTTGACTGTATATATACTTGTTGTTCTGTTTTCTACTATTATTATTTTATACTTGATAAAGACTCCTGTATGTGAATCAAAACGTTGCAGAAATTAAAGAAAGGAGTAGTATATCTATAATATTGTTTCTTATTTATTTAATATTTGCAAACTTTGACGCTTAATAATCGGAAAAACCAAATCCAACCAAAGGCAGCTAAAAATCTTTCAGCTTTTGAAGAGCAACATATTGAATATAAAAATAAACATTTATAACGTAATTTAAAATAAAACTTGTAGCCTAATGGAAGGAAATTCTGACAAAAACCGTTAAAAAAAATATCAGGAAGCTGACGTTATCCTAAACTAACATCCAATATGGCCGACATATGGTAGCCATTTTGAATATTTCCTGTAACAAAGTAAACAATATGACTAGAATTTTCTTTGAAAAAAATCATCTTCCTGATAAAAATTGATACTGTTAGTTTTAGTTATATTTCTAAACGAATACTACAAGCGTGTTTGTAACCACATTAACGAATATTTTGTAACCAAGATAAAAAAAATAGAATTCCACAAAAATTCTCAGAAGCAGACACACTTAATACATTATAACCGTAACTCATTTTATAATTGGGCATCAGAGAATCTGTTTTTATACGTTCATGCCACAAACCCCGTAAAGGCCGAATTTAAAAACACCGTATGTGTGCCATTTACCCCTCTCCTAATTCCAAAAAATACGAAGCCGGAAGTTGGAGCCAAAATACAAATATAACTATACGAAGTTTTAAAAAATTGAATCGCTTCAACAGCACAAATTAGAAAAAAAAACTTGAAAACTTGGACTAAACCAGAAGTTTATTCAAAACGGATATCTCACCCTCACAAGTTATTTGGTTTAAAATATTTAAAAATTTCGCTCCAGAATAGATTGACATATATCTGGAAATAATGAATTATATATTCAGGTTTGTGTGTCAATCTTGTTAATTATCAAACCATATTGTAACTTTACATCAAAGTCTAAAAAAACATTTCTCGGTTAAGCCAGAAAACATGGCCGACATCTGTCAACGTGTAAAGAGTGGCCATGTTTTTGCGTAATTATATTCAATTATATCCCCGGTTTGTCAAAACACAGAAAATATTAGTTTCTGCTAAAGAGAAGAGTTATTGCTCTTATCTTATTGTACTTCTGAACTTCAAGATGGATTCCCTTATTTTCATTTATAAAAATAAAAAAGCTAATACTTATATGAATAGAAAGTAGAGATGTTCTAATGACTTGGAGAAATTCCAGTTTGTCTCACATGTCCATTATTAATTCATAATTAGCTAAATTATAAGAGAATTACCAGCAGAATTCCAATGAGTGACTGATGTAGAAAGGACAAAAAGTCTTTTTTGTTTATCCAGATTGTACATACATGGATATTTATGATTGGTTAAAACTCTTAATTATATGCAATAACAAAATAATGATATGATTAAGAATACATGATAATTCATTAGAAACACCATTTAATCAAATAGTTTGCTTTATTTGACAATAAAATTAAGGAAACCCATCTTTAAATGGAGTTGTACTATTACTTCCAACTGAGTTACTTTTGAAAGAAGAGACGAAAATACAAAAATAACTACCAACAAATTCATATTCAGTGCATAGAGTTTTACAATTAACAAAAAATTCATATTCAGTTTGTGTTTGGATACGCACACGGATAACTTTTCATTTGTTGGAATATTATAATGTGTTTTGTATGACTTAAGATTATATATAACGTGTTTGAACTTTACTAGTTGCATAATATAAAATCATATTCAATTCAACCGACACGTAAAAACTTTTACCACATAAAACATTACTACACTTTGATGATATACGATCATCTTCACAATGTCAAGCTTTTACGAACTTCGTCTTCTACGAAGATTGTTAGAGCTAGATATTGTGAAGATGATATGGGCCCAGCTATTCTAAGAATAAAAAAGGTTTTTCAAAGCTATCTTGATGACTCATTACTCCCTTTCATTAAAACGTATCAGTTAATCTTATTTCGACAGTTAAAAAATTCCCTTTAAAAATCTTAGCTTTTAATTATATAATGGGCAAAAATTAAGGAAGATAAGTAAGCCTTTTCATCACCAAGGGGATCATATATCACGCCAGATTACCAATTCTTGCATAATTACAAAGGAGTGAACAAAATATTGTCACGCCGGACCCATACTCATAGCTGACTAGTTCCGTTAATCCGTATGACCTTTTTGCACTGAAATACGCAGTAAACGTTCTTGTGGATGACTAGAATAATAAATCCACAATTCAATCCGTTTTCACTCAAAAACGCAGAACGTCTTGTGTACTCTAGGGTTCTAGTTTGAAATGTTTCTGTGACCCTTTTACACTCAAAACTGTACTACGCATTACGCATTCATAAGACTACAGTGAAACTGAATCCTCTGTAAAACGGCATCCCTCTAAACTACTTGAAAAGTTTCGCCAGAATTACTATATTATAATCTGTAGAAAAAAAAATAAACCGACATCCCCTCTGACCTGTTTTTATACAAATACACAGTGTACTTTATGAATCTATAGATGGCCAACTTTATATCCTATGTTTTAAAAGACTTGACAGGGCGAATGACATCAAGAACAGTACTAATGACCACCAGTCATCATTTCATTGTTGTGTCTTTCAAAGCTGATGTTGCCGTTTTCCTTGCCTACTCAACTCTTCTGATATCACAAACTACTTTCAATAAATCAGATTTGTAACTCAATCAAAGGCTTTCCGAAAATCAACGAATTAATTCTGATTAATTTTAAGAATGTGGCATGGACAGACCAATCGCAGAATGGTGTCTGGCGTTTCGTAAAATAACTGAAATCACTCTCGTTAGGCTCCTATTATCCACACATTTCCAAATTGGGCGAGAGTAAGTCCATAAAACCCAACCCTTTATGAAAAACAAATTTAGTATTTGTACAGGCCTAGCTAGCGAACGGAGGCCATAAGGCCCTAATTCAATAAAATTCTATTAAATTCTAATGTAAACTTTAGGTCTCTTGAAATTCAATGAAATCTTTACAAGGGCTTAGTAATATTAAAAATATTATTTCGTATAAATAGGGATATGTAATATAAGAAGGGTTATAAAAATGGAAAGGGCTAGGTAATGAAAAAAAGGTTGAATAATGAACCAAGGGCAACTGTTTACCCTAGTCGAGATCAATCAATATTCTATAAAATATTATATATAGAAAATATATAGAAAGAGTCTTTATCGACGATCAACTGTCTAAGGATCTAGTCTCGCCCCTTATAGTCCAACACTTAAACCATCTCTCGCCCATCTTTTATTGTGTTACCGATAATAGGTGAACAATACTCCTCCTTCGTGCTACTTATCATGCAACGCCCTGATCAAATTTCGGCACCAAATTACGTTGATTGATAAACACTAATTCATAATTATGAGCGTTAGATTTTAATTTAAAAAGAATTTACGATACACAGAATCAAAAGCTTTTTAAAAATCAAAATTTATTTCTCTTGAGCTGAGATTATGTTGCAAACTTTAAGCAACTATGAAATCAGATGCTAATTTATACTTGAGATATATGAGTAATAAGGTAGCAAACTTAGTAAAATGGAGTCCTATCGGCTCTCGATACCGTTACAGTTCATGATACTTTGCCATAAATAATGTTCTTCTTTAATACGATTCGGCAAGTGTTGGAGACATTTAACTATGATTTTTAACAACAACAAGCCATAAAATACAAGCTTAATGATATTATAATTCAAAAGCCTGGAGAGCATGTAGTTTATAGGATAAGCACCAGTTAGAATAAGACGAATAATCCCAGAAAGCGACGAGATTTGTGTTCATTAAACGTGGATATTGTAGTTGTTAAAGCGAGGGAAATAATAATAATAATAATGATATATTGTTTAAAGCCCATTACATCACAATCGATCTCAATAGACTGTACAATTATAAATAATAATATATATCACTATAACAAAACTAGACACTACAGTTAAATAATTAAAAAAAATTATGGAAAATTTTAAATCAAAAAAAGATGTAAATATATAAGAGAGATGACAAAATTTATTAAAAAAAAAAATGTGCTCTTCTCGGGTAGATCTAAATAGGATTACGGAATAACACTATAAGTGTTAAAGTTAAATATATTATATCTATACCTCTCAATACAGCTTATTATAACTATCAATATAAACTTTACATTCTTCACTATACAAATAGTTTAACTGTTAGTAAGGGACGAATAATCCCCTACTTTCCCTCCCTAATCTCTAATCCCTTTATACATATATTAAACACCTTAAATACAGACTTATAGTACATAATATACTCTCAAAATATCAACATTAAGATAACAGTTTTCTCACGATCTTTCGTCGCGAAAAGCTGGTAAATAAGTATCCTTCAAAGGATTGTAAAAAGGTTTTTTAATATTTATATGTGTATCGGGGACACTAATAGCATCAATTTGTATAAATTACTATTTGTATAAATTTCAGTAAAACTATTTTCAATCCCTTTTACAAATAACATAAAAAACGGCACAGCGTTTCAGCAATTTACATTATTCGTTTGTTTTTTGTACAGTAATACACATACAGTAATTTTATCATACACAACGTTTCGACCATTTGCGTCTTCGGCATATTTTTGATATATTTCTTATGGTTTTATCGTACACAACGTTTCAACAATTTACATCACGTGTCTTTTTTGTAATAGACTATATTTCTCATGGTTTTATTGTACACATCGTTTCAACAATTTACGTTCTATTTTTGTACAATACTACTCATGGTTTTAACTTCTTATTGTATTATCTATTATTCGACACCTAAAAGTGTCAGTTGTCCTAAACGGTAAGTTTACCCTGCCATGCTAGCGACGATATAATAAGTTTACCCTGCCATGCTAGCGACGATATAATAAGTTTACCCTGCCATGCTAGCGACGATATAATATGTTTACCCTGCCATACTAGCGACAATACAATAAGTTTACCCTGCCATGCTAGCGACGATATAATATATGTTTACCCTGCCATGCTAGCGACGATATAATATGTTTACCCTGCCATACTAGCGACAATACAATAAGTTTACCCTGCCATGCTAGCGACGATACAATAAGTTTACCCTGCCATGCTAGCGACGATATAATAAGTTTACCCTGCCATGCTAGCGACGATATAATAAGTTTACCCTGCCATGCTAGCGACAATACAATAAGTTTACCCTGCCATGCTAGCGACGATACAATAAGTTTACCCTGCCATGCTAGCGACAATACAATATGTTTACCCTGCCATGCTATTGACGATACAATAAGTTTACCCTGCCATGCTAGCGACGATACAATAAGTTTACCCCGCCATGCTAGCGACAATACAATATGTTTACCCTGCCATGCTATTGACGATACAATATGTTTACCCTGCCATGCTAGCGACGATATAATAAGTTTACCCTGCCATGCTAGCGACGATATAATAAGTTTACCCTGCCATGCTAGCGACGATATAATAAGTTTACCCTGCCATGCTAGCGACGATATAATAAGTTTACCCTGCCATGCTAGCGACGATATAATAAGTTTACCCTGCCATGCTAGCGACGATACAATAAGTTTACCCTGCCATGCTAGCCACGATATAATATGTTTACCCTGCCATGCTAGCGACGATATAATATGTTTACCCTGCCATGCTAGCGACGATACAATAAGTTTACCCTGCCATACTAGCGACGATACAATATGTTTACCCTGCCATGCTAGTGATGATATAATAAGTTTACCCTGCCATACTAGCGACGATACAATAAGTTTACCCTGCCATGCTAGCGACGATACAATATGTTTACCCTGCCATGCTAGCGACGATACAATATTGTAATTATTTTACAGTTTTATAATTATGTTAATAATATCATATTATATTAATTATGACCTGTTTTATCTTTACAATGAGGTAACCGAAAACAACCTGATACCTTTATAAAATATCGACTGTATATACCGATTTGGATAGACCTTAGACTTTTTTTAGCGATTTGGATAGACCCTAGACGTTTGTAAAGCGATTTGGATAGACCCTAGACGTTTGTAAAGCGATTTGGATAGACCTTAGACGTTTGTAAAGCGATTTGGATAGACCCTAGACGTTTGTAAAGCGATTTGGATAGACCCTAGACGTTTGTAAAGCGATTTGGATATACCTTAGACGTTTGTAAAGCGATTTGGATAGACCTTAGACGTTTGTAAAGCGATTTGGATAGACCCTAGACGTTTGTAAAGCGATTTGGATAGACCCCAGACGTTTGTAAAGCGATTTGGATAGACCCTAGACGTTTGTAAAGCGATATGGATAGACCCAAGACGTTTGTAAAGCGATTTAGATAGACCATAGACGTTTGTATAGCGAGTTGGATAGACCCTAGACGTTTGTAAAGCGATTTAGTTAGACCATAGACGTTTGTAAAGCGATTTGGATAGACCATAGACGTTTGTAAAGCGATTTAGTTAGACCATAGACGTTTGTAAGCGATTTGGATAGACCATAGACGTTTGTAAAGCGATTTGGATAGACCCTTGACGTTTGTATAGGGATTTGGATAGACCTTAGACGTTTGTAAAGCTATTTGGATAGACCCTAGACGTTTGTAAAGCGATTTGGATAGACCTTAGACGTTTGTAAAGCGATTTGGATAGACCCTAGACGTTTGTAAAGCGATTTGGATAGACCCTAGACGTTTGTAAAGCGATTTGGATAGACCCTAGACGTTTGTAAAGCGATTTGGATAGACCCTAGACGTTTGTAAAGCGATTTGGATAGACCCTAGACGTTTGTTAAGCGATTTGGATAGACCCTAGACGTTTGTAAAGCGATTTGGATAGACCCTAGACGTTTGTAAAGCGATTTGGATAGACCCTAGACGTTTGTAAAGCGATTTGGATAGACCCTTGACGTTTGTATAGGGATCTGGAGAGACCTTAGACGTTTGTAAAGCTATTTGGATAGACCCTAGACGTTTGATAGTCTAATATATTAGACTTGAATTTTAGAAGTGAACAAAGAACAAAAAACATTTTATAAAATAATAAGGGAAGTTTGTAAATTCGTAAAATAAAGACGAACGCTAAAACAGAATATGAAAGACAGCATAGATCAGAAAAATCACAAAAAATATCCAAAAGTCATTCTATGAATAAGGGAGATTTGCTCAAATTTCCCCAAAAGTAAAACGCGCGCCTCAAATCATGATTACAACTATGTACGGCTGATGCTTATGAAGCATGAGAAGGTAAGACGAGACCTTTGTACACGTCAATGGAATCTAAAGAAACATTACATAAAGCAGGTTTGCTCAAATTTCCCCAGACATTAATAGTAGATACAATGGTGACCGTTTTTTTACCTTGAATACGCAGCTATCAACACTGCAAAACACAAGTTATCATAATTATTGCCTTTATGCATATAAGATTCGAAGGTATCGTCTTTCAACTTGAGATAAAGTTTGATTAGAGAAGGTCATACGAATTTGTTTTTGACTAGTGTGAATATCTTGATCTTTAATGTCTTCTTCTAAAACTATTACAATCAGTAGTGTGGTGAGGTATGTCTTCATTGGCCTGTCGAGTCAAATAGTTGAAGCCAACGTCCAGACTGAAATGCCGTTCGGAAAATAAAACTTTTTTATTGTGACGACGAGTAACAATGAGAAATATGCTGAAATTATAGATTTTATTATAACAGAACTTGTGATACATTGTAATACTTCAGTATAAATAAACTAGACAGTATCGACTAGAACTTCCACTCCTCGAAGAAATCTAATATACCCCTATTACGTTTAATTCAGGGTTCACACGACCCAATATTTCAGGTGTAATAGAGGGGTTTTCAATAACAATATACGATAGGCCAAGTTGTATCTTGATACCTGGAAGTGATCTACATTGGTCACGTCGTTTTTTTCAATCTGACCCATCATGGTTTGATTTAGATTAGTAATGGGTTTAATATAAGATTTGACCGGCTTGCGATGTACGTTGAGGGGCTGTGTGGATGATATTTATTGCTTCAGTTGACTTGGTCGATGTATGTTGAGGGGCCGTGTGGATGGTATTTACTGCTTCAGTTGACTTGGTGTAAAATAAGATGTATTGTTAAAGGGGCAGATACTTCCCCCCTCGAATCCCATCGCATTCTCCAAATAAGTCCAGGCCTATATATATCTATGGAGTAGGATACACAGTAACAGACAGAAGAATTTTGACAAACAAGATGAATTTGAATTCTAAGCAATCTTCAAACACCTGCGTCAAACCAGAAGTTATTTATATCTTTCATTGATAATTGACGGCTGTAAATTTGATTCTGTAATTAACCCTCGGAATGTCAGTCCTGCAGAATGGTAAATTAAACCCATTAACCCTTCATGGTCGTCTGGTCGTGGAGAATTCCGACTGGTGAATGAGTTACAGCATGTAGGCTAATGATTTTAAATTTCAAATTCGAATGTTTTAACATCTGAATGTGGAATTTAACTATCAGAATTTCAATAAACTTTGAATAAGCGGAAATTCGGATTCAAGGCTAAAAAACTCAAGGATGCTGTCGACTCACAGGTCGGATCTCGAGGCAAATCTTTTACATGGAAAACAAATTAGGTCCTTAAGGATACCGTCGACCAGCTGGTTTTTCATGACTCCTTTTCGAAATGATGTTACAACTTAGTCCATGGGTACTGTCCATACTTTCATCAGTCACAACCATAACCCAGCAATATCGCAATAATCATGATGTAATAGGTATATCTATTAAACTGAGAAGAAATACTATAATATAAGAACTGTTACGTCGGTTTTTCTTGTTTTTTTTCATGATATATTACTCAGTTACATGTGTTTTAGCTTTCTGATTGAATGTGGCAGTTATGTGTTCATTTTATCAACTGTTGGCAACGTGTATGAATTCCCTATCGTCTACAAAAATACATGTTAACCCTCCCCGGACGTTTCTTAAACAGCCAGTTTAACAATAATTATAGATTTATAGTAAATATTACGCCATTTATGGTTAAAGCAGCATTGAATAACACATATCTAATATCATTTTAACATGTTCTTAAAATTTAATCCTCAACAGTTGGAAATGGAAAAAGCGCAGGCTAATGCCGCTGTCCCAGCAAAATGTTCCTCATTGCACACTGCATGGCGTTGCCAGTCTTCATTAGCCCCACATGGTGCATTTAGAATTTAATTAAAGTACATTTCAAAGGTATTGAGAACGTTGTATGACAATGTAGCGAAACTTCTAACGTAGAAAACTATAAATTATTATGTAAGTATAACGTCATAAATAGCAAAAACAATATTGAATCCTATCTACCAGCTATTCGTCTCTCTTGGCATTAATCTCTCACGGATTATCAGTACCCATTTACAGCTATAGGTCGACTGCAATAATGAGGAAAGATAACTTATTCATTACTCATTTACAGCTGTATCGATTTGAATAATGAGGTAAGAGTACTAACGTTCAGTATAAGACGATACTTTCACTTTAACGTCTATAACTAACTAAATTATCCTACAAATTAGGTTGTAAGTCTGTTATTTTACCGATATTATAAATATCAAAATAGACAGATTATGTATGAGATATCATGCTGGTTTCTAAACTAAAACTCTTGATAACAAACCATTTATTATCATTTATGACAATATTTAATAGTAATAGTGTTTGGACAATATTTATCGTTGATCACTTACTGTCCGACACGGTTGACCTCTACTATGACACGGTTGACCTTGGGAAGATTAGGTTTGCAGTGGTCACGATGTGGAGTGTAAATTTCACTTTCATATCTTGATATTAACTTGAATGAAGGTTGTTAAGTACTTGAACAGTTGGAGAATATCAGCACTGCAATATCACGTGAAACTTTTAGCAAACCTCTATAGGTGATGCTGTCCTTTTTTGCCATTTCCTCGTGTATTCTGGTACGTTTGTCAGTCTGAAACTTAAACTGTCTATCGTGAAAGTTTCGCTGGCTTTACAAAAATTGTCCAGAATTGTCGAATGTTTGATACATTCTGATTTTTTGTTTTTTGCTCTTCTTTTTAAACGTTTTGTAACGTTTTGAACAGACTTTTGTCCACGCTAGAGTTGGCCTTGTGTTTAGGGTGGATCGCTTCACTGCTGGAGACAGCTTTATATATAAAGGTAGGTCCACCATTTAGCCAACAAGATGTCAACAATTTCAATTCATACTCGACCGTATTTCTCATATAAATATGCTTAAAGGGTTTAGTGTTGAAATATGAATGGTCATTTTGTTATCCGGTTTTTTACATTGAGGGCATTATAAGGTTCAATAACTCTTTTCACAAACAAATATATAATGCTTTTGTACCCGAGTAGGTGTTATCAAGGACAATGTACAGCGAAAATGACCGAGAATCGGCCTCATAAACATGTTCTTTGTTTTAGACTGGAGACGTCCCCATGGCGAAAACATTTACACCAACAAAATGGGAGAATTTGGACAGTTTTATTGTGATCACTAACATGGTTATGGCTGACATAGAAATAACGTTTTGTCGTTCAGATACGACACTTTACCAATACCCCGTGCTCTACAGGCTGTCCATGTTTAAGATCCCTCACCAGAAGTAATTCGAAAAAAGCTAGCTGCCATTCTGAAAAAAAAAACCTGTTAACATTGCATACTGCATGGTGCTGTGCTTCTTCAATAGCACAATCATGTACAGGAGCTTGACCTTGAAGACAATATCAAATTGTATTTCTGACACCTGTTAAACGACACGTGTAAAACGGGGCGTGACCAAAAGTTGGAAGTGGAAGTAAGTTGCCTAATCGCTTGGAAGAAAAGTATCGCATTATCCCATTAAATTTGACCGACTTGTTACGCCCTTGAAAATCACAGAAAGAGACAGAGGGGGAGGGGGGGGGGTGGGAAAACATGCATAAAGTTTACTAAAATTCTCAAGAATTCTGTCTACTAGCTACTAGCTGCTCGAACAACCTGGCTACGATTTAATCTAGATAACACCTTGTTCAAATCTCTTGGCTATGACGTTACAAGGATAAGAAGGCCATGGATTCTGTCTACCAGCTGGTCCTTGGTAAATCCTCTTGACAATGAGTTTACCAGGATAACAACTCGGGTTCTCGAGGATTCTGTCTACCAGTCCTTGACCAAACTCTTGAAATGATTTAACAAGTATAACATCATAGGTTCTCAACTTCAACCTCTTGACAATGATTGGATGATTTAACAACATAGGTTCTCGAGGATCCAGTAAGTCAGCTAAATGTCTTGGCCATCACCGGCGAACGCCATTTGACGTCAGGATTTCCACTGTACAGTTTGTCCTCAAAATTTTAATGATCGAAAGCCCTGCAATAAGCCTAAGTTTTTTTTATAAAACTTGATATTGTGGAGACGAAGTTCCTGATAAAATCAAGATGGCTATTGCAAAGGTGTATAGAAGGAGGTTTGTAAAAGCTTGACATTGTGAAGATGTAGTATTGTGGGGTAATGAATTCCCGTTGTTCGCGGAATAAAGTGGGTTTGTTTAAAAACTAGTTTCTCCTTTCATTGTATGATATTACTACTGAAAATTAAAACAAGACCTTGAATTAAATAGTTCGTGGTATTCTATTCCGTTTATTTTTTTCAAAATGTAGGCTACATCAGTTATTGAATCTGATATGGTCTCAATGTTATGTCAGTAGGTCAAATTTATTTAAAGATAAATATCTAAACGTTTAAAAATTATAATGGATACTGCCGTCATGCATGAACAAAATATTTCAAAAAACAACTTGTGATGAATAACGATCCTCACGTACTCTTAAGATCTTTTGGGTTAGGGTTAGGGTGGCAAGGTTCTAAGTCTATGAAATTCAGTCAAGTGTGATATTCGACCCATCTTTAACAAAAATACACACAATAATGCATTCTGAGAGAGTATCTCTTATAAAACATTATACCGCAGCTAGGTCAAATTATACAGTAGAAGCAATTATATTTTAATGAAAAAATGATATCTTAATCAACAGTTCATGACCAACTGTAAACAAGACTACCACAAATCAATGTTAGTGAATCAAACTGGTACCCCGGTTTTTATTTAAGTCCATGCATATTCAAGAAGTTCATATTACGTTACTACAGTACAGACTGAATATTGAGATTAACCATCTGTTACGAAATGCAGACGAAATTAGGGAAATTAAAGCTGCACCTATCATTTGTCAAGTTGTTATCTATTGACCGAAATTCACATGAAATTATTCCACTATCAGCAAATTCCATCTGTAAATAATATATTCAACTAGATATACGAATTCCAATTCTAATATGTAAATTTATTACAGTTTGACTTTACTTGCACTCGATAAAAGACAGAATTGTCTGAGTTACATATCAATTTGGTGGCAGAAGTCACTTAAAAAATCTCAGGGCAGACCAGAGAAATATCTATATAGTATAGATCAGTCATATCGCAATGCAGATCAGCCAAAGCAGACAAATCACCAGGTAGAGCAAACCAATCACCATGCAGAACTGACAAATAATCATGTAGAGCAGACAAATCGACAAGCTGATCAGACAAATCGCACAGCAGAACTGACAAATCGTCATGCAGAGCAGACACATCGTCATGCAGAGCAGACAAATCGTCACGCAGAGCAGACACACCGTCATGCAGAGCAGACACATCGTCACGCAGAGCAGACACATCGTCATGCAGAGCAGACACATCGTCACGCAGAGCAGACAAATCGTCAGACAGAGCAGATAAACCAAGCAGAGCATACCATTGTCCTGCAGAGCAGACGAATGGCCGGACAGAGCTGACAAATCACCAAGCAGAGCTGACAAAATGAACTTTGAACGGAACGATATTTTAAGAAGTTTTATTATAGCTAGATTGTAACGTGTTAAAACAAATGTTAAAATTTCCGTTTTTCATGAAATATGCCAAGTAAGTAAAATGTCAAAAATTGTTAGTTTTCATGCTGTACAACTTTCCTTTTTCCTGTAAAATCTAAATTTATTCTTCAACGAAAATAAAAAGGTTGAGTAACATAATTAAAGAAGGGAATGTTCAAAATGGCAGAAGCCAAAATTACATTAAAATTCCTCACACTCTATTCTGTCATTTTTAAACCACTTATAATCCCACGTGGAGATTAGCTCCGATATTCTAGGCTTTTATTTTTAAATGGTTGTTTTTTCAAGAGTCAAATAACAGAAATTAGAAAGGAATTTTCTGATTAGTTTCTTTATCTTTCCACCATTGAGGATAGAAATAACATCTTAATGACACGGTTTGAAAGGAAATAGAAAAATATTTTTGTTTAATCTGATTTTATTAGAACATAAGAGAGTACGAAACTCTTGGTATTTTTTTCCATGAGCAAATAATATCCTTGAAAGTAAAAGTAGAACAGAAGTTTGTCCCGTGCGTCTGAGTGTTTTTTTTTTCTATATGAAATAGTTCAAATCCTTCGAGAAATAAAATCCAGAACAGAAGTTTTTATGATGTTTAGATAAGGAGTTAGTTGTGATTATTAAAACTAGTTGTTACTGATAGAGATAGATATCATTCTGACTGACAAATCAATCAACAATCTTTCTATATAACAATCTTACTTGTATTTATCATACACCAGGGATTTCTTTCATTTATGACGTAGTTTAGATGAGGCGTCATACTTCATGACGTAAAAAATTGTGACGTTTTATGACAGTGACGTCAAGTCACGCTGTGGACGTAAAATCTCTTCAGTGACGTTAAATATTTTGACATCTTATGGCAGTGACGTGAAGTACACTCTCACTGACTTCATCGTCTAAATTAGGGTGAGATTTAAATTTAAATAAAGTTTGGATAAAAAAGGAAAAGAAACAGCATGAAGTATTTCTGTGTATAGAAGATTATTTATATAAATAGTTGATTGAAAGGTTGACCTCCGACCCCAGCAGGGTTTGAAATAATAAAATTGCTGTTGAATTCTGAACTCAGTTTTAACAGTATTTAGAGAAACTATTTATTACCAATAATAGAGTATACCAGTAGAAAAAAAACCAAATTATTTCACCTTGACCAACATCAATAGTTTGAAATCTATTAACCTATTTTAGACTACACCTTTAAAGCCGAGCGTTCGCTTTGGATCACTAAAACTCGCCCTTCTCTTAAAACAACTATTTTTTTTATCTTTATAAGGGATAACGGTAGCATCAATTTGCAGCATTCTAATTTTCAATCAGACGTCTGGGTTTTTGCATTTTCACTTAAACTAACGGTTTTATGACGTCATTATCGCGAAAGTTGCTTATAATATCTAAAGGTTATTATGATATAATAATAATCTTTATTTGCATCATTTTACACCATTTCTGGTCAAAGGCAATACATAAAGTAACTTATATAAAAGGTATATTAAATATTATAAGCTTGAAAAACCTTACAATCCTTTTAACTAGAACGCTCTCAACAGATCATTAAAACTCTCCTCTCTTTCAGCGGTCACTAAATATTAAACCTCTTAACTTTCTATAGAAATAAATGAAGCGAAGACGATGGTAACTATCAAATGTGATATTACAAAGTTTCAAAACAAACCGTGTATAACTAAACCTACTATTAATATAAAAATATTACCAGTATACTATTTAGGGGACGAGATGAAGTGACGATTTAATAGCTCGAGACACTCTAAGCCTGAGTTGGGATCGTGAGAAACTGAAATTGTTTATAGTTAATTGATGATGCAGGGAAATTAGTAGAAATAGAATTAATTCACCATGATACGATTAATTAGTGAGCTATATACCCTCGGGTGTTGTGATAAATGATGTGACCTTTGAAAGTGTGAAAATTACTTGTACAAAATTACGATTCAATCATTAAAAAAAATCTAAATCGAACTTATGGTCGCTGTACTACATTATCGTTTAGATCACGTGACGTCATATACATTTTTTACCTCAGTCCCTAATAATACGGGGTATTTACCTTTTAAAGTTAAACTAAAAATAGAAATATGAAAAAGTTTTGGGCGTGATGAATAGACGATGACTAAACTAGAATATTTCATTATTATAAAGTGAATCAGTTTTTATGTATATTCTCATGTGTGAACAAGAATATGCTTTTGTTTGTTTGTGAAATATAACCTAAATATTTAAATTTTAAACTTATATTCTCATGATCATGACGTCATTTTATTGGGAAGACAATTTGAATGAAATGAAGGAGAATGACGTCACAAGCGGAAGGATATTATATAGTAATTATCGCCGGATTCCCATCAGCTGTTTATTTGTATTGTTTATTTTTGGTTTAGAGAAATAGAAGAAAGGGGGAATGTTTATTTTCTATTACCTCTTGGTGGAGAGATAACAACAAATTCAAACAAAACCACGAAACTCTTTATTCTGGAGGGTTAAATCTCAGGCACCAACAGTGACGTTTCTATAGTGAATGAGGTGATGAGGGAACCATGAAGGGGCTTCATAATTTTTTCAATGAGGAGGGGGGTACAGGCCATTGTTACTTTTTGTTATATGGTCAGAAATGTAAAGGGAGGGGGCAAAGCCGGGCTAGACGCCACTGAAGCACCTGATTATGGTCGAAAAAACTCAATAGCCGCTTTTATACTTTTAATTATGTTATGTTGGTTTACAAGTATTGTTTTGATAATTAACATTTTATTTGTAAATAACAAGTTAACGCTTCAAACAGATGCTGATATCCCAGACCAAAATCTACTACTACTAGTAAGGGAAGAGGTCCGCTTCGATCAGAATTTTTTTAAAAGAGACCAAAATCAGGTGCCTGTGGGTTATATCGGGTGGCCCAGAAAAATTGTTAACACTTTTCAATTCAGGATTATTTATAAAGTATTAAAGCTATGATCATAATATTTCCTTCCACTCAATATAGTCTTGAGAAGTCGAAGACACATCACACCAGTATAGTAATTATTACGCCATTTCAGGATCTCTAACTGATAAAATAGTTCCTTTGTTCACCTACTTTTTAAGTCTTTAGTCATAATACAACTTATCAGATGAAAATACCTGTCTCTATGGAGGTAATTACCTGCCAAAATCTCGTGTAAAAATCAAGATAACAGATTCCAATGATCAAAGAATAATAATATCTGTCACAAGAGTGGTTATAAAATGGTCGTATTATTTTGGCACCAACTAGAAAGCAGTAATATGTTATACATCTGTCAACTTGAGAAATAGAATTTTCTGCAGCAAGTGCGCTGATAACAATCTACCTTTCCTTACAAATTACCTTTCAGTTCAACGTTCTACTATTCTGCACTGAGATGTTCTGTTTTTGAGAAATTTTTCGTGCGTTTTAGTTCTTCTTAAGACTATTAAAGCACATTCAAGACCCAAATCAATCCCCGAAAATACCGACTGTTCCTCTTTAAAAGGAGAGTGGTTTTCCATATCCCTAGTTAAGTGAAATAAAAAAGGGGGAATTAGATTCATCAAGGAAAAGCATGGCGCAATTAGTGGTAATAAAAATCAACCACTTAGTTAAAGACATATAGAGACATAGATCTTAAAGTTAAATTTAATAAAAAAGGAAAATGAAATCAATTTTGACAAAAAGAGCCTGTTTAAGTAATCAGCTGGCAGCTGTAAGTATAGTGGTAAAACTATCAGTGTGGAGGCTAACTATTAGCTGGCTCCACTGGGGGTCTCTAATAACATCTTTACAGAATTCCAGACAGGCAGATCAGTTCACTAAAGGTCGGTTTAAATAGGCTCTAAATCATATTTTACTCAAAGGGCGTCTTTCAGATTTACTTTTTCGTTTGTGGTTTTACTCTTGGCAGAAATCTGCAAGATCGGGGAATTCGTTTAGTCTATCGGAAGGGGGCAATAAACTCAGGTAGTGGTCGTTACTTATTCAAGCTAGTGGGAGTAAATTAATAATACCAAAAGTCGGTTTACATAAATTCTAAATCATGTTTAGCTTTTTCCTTCAGTATGACTGTTATTCGTGGAGCGAATCATACAGTCTAGATTGACGTCATTTTGCTTTTGTGTCATTGACGCCACTGACGTCATACCTCTATGGAGCAAATCTGCAGGGTTGGAAACAGCACAGAACCACTAGATCAAAGCCTTGCATATTGAACAACGTAAAGGTTTCAGTGATTTACTAACAAGGCGTTCCTCAAGTGCCAATTTCACCAATCACCAGATGATAAGAGCAATCCGTTTGTTGTTTCAGTAATCCTTTTTCAATTATAAATTAAGGAGCTAAAAACATCGCCCAACCTAAACTTTGTTATTTGCAACAGCGGAAAATTTGATGACATCATACCTTAATTAAATTTGATTGGTTATATGTTAAAGTTCGCAAAAACTCGGTAGTTAAAGTTAGCAAAAACTCACTAGTCAAAGTTAAAGGAGCAAAAACTAGGCGTTGGAATTCACTAATTAGATGATTAACGAGAAATGCGTGGGCGATGTCCTTGGCGAAGACATCATGTTGTAGTTAGTCAGAATTAGGAACGGTTTGCCATCAAATTAAACACAGCGGCCTTCAGAAAGAAATATTCTCGTTAACGAGCCTGGCAGCTCAGTCATATTTACTTTCCTTATCGACAGATTGGGTTACTATGTCAATCAGCGAGGTCGACAAGTCGAAACAGAAAAATATCAGTAAATACAATTTTTTTGTCCAAAATGGAGAAAATAAACAAATTAGTGTTATTCTAAAATCTGAGTGGATTTTCTACTTTCGCTTCCACCTGTCTCTGATTGTCGACGAACCAACTGCAGTAATTTTAGCTTCAACAAATATTTTTTGTAAT